TTTATCAACCTGTGCAGGAAATCAGCAAAAACTTTTACACACCATTGTAACTTGATGCCACTTGTGTGCATGAACACTCATATGCACACAGTTGGGAGTGACTGAATTTGTTAGCTTTTAATGTGATGTGATGAAATGTGTGCAGTTTCCTTATTTATTTATTTATTTATTTTTGGTCACTGTGTGGCACTGTATATATCCTTTATCCTGATTGAATTTGTAATGCTTAAAATGCAGATATATTGGCTAAACCATGACAAGGCAGTCTAGCCTACCAGTCTCTGATAATCACTTAATAAGGTCTACAGTGTGCCAAATAAAACATAAATTGTGCCTATTTTAGTCAAAAATGAGCAGTAACATTTCTGGTGAAGGGGGTTTAAATGCTTTAACTTCCAAAAAGAAGAGCAAATTTCATGATTACTAGGAATTGGGTTGCTTAAAAAGGTATAATGGAAAAGTAGATAATAAATAGTTCTAAAAATGGTTTAGAAACAATTTTAAGGGGCCTGCCCAATACGAACACTCTCCATGCAGGCAAACTGAATTCCTCCCTGAACACCAGTGTGAGTAGCATCAGTGGCCGCATTCCCAGCAGTGGCAGCAGGCTTCCCAGTTCCAACCGCAAGTCAGGAATCATCAGCAAACCTCTGGAAACCTCTACTGGAAGAAGAGCATCCTTCTCCACACAGGGAAGGAAAGGATCTGAGCCTGTTCCTAGACCGGTCAAGGCCACCCCTATTAGTAGAACAGAGACTGGACCTTCTGTTCAGCACCAAACACCAGCTAAGAGGACTATGGAGAGGACCACCTCTGTGCCCAGCATATCTACACTGGCTGCTAAGACTGGAAGCACTGTTAAGGTGAACTCCAACTTGAAAGCTTTCGTGGCACCAACTCCAACAAACTCTCTGAAAGGAGTACGAAGATCTGAAGGTAGGAAACGTGTGTTATCAGGTTTGAATTTGAGATTTACGCAGTTTGAATTAACCCTATGCCTTTTGTGATCATATTAGTTACATCATCACCTGATGTTCCTCGAATTATGAAACCGAAAAGACTGATGTCAGCTTGCAGTGTGGACAGGTAATGTAGCATTCTGGTATTCTGCTACATAATTATGAACTTATAAATGGGATTGAGGATGAAGTGCTTATTTGTTGGGTCACAGTTCCATATGAGTCATTGTTCATAATTTCTATTTAGTGTTCCACAGAAACTCAATCTTCCTGCAACTCATGGCCTCCAGACACCTTCAAGTGCAACTGAGAAGCCATTGCAGTCTAAACTGCGGCGACCATCTGCTCTACCTACACCTGTGAACCGCCGCGTGTCTGGCATCCCCATGCTGACACCCAAAAGCGTGTCTCGCCTCAACAAAGTGTCCCACACCCCTGAGCCACACTCACAGTCACCAGCTTCCAGCTCAACGATTAGTCATGCTAGGTAATGTGACTTTATGAGCATTTGATCCTTTTGCTGCCAATGAAGAGTTGAGACGACCAAAAAACAATGTAACTTGCAATTAGGATTTATGATCATGGCCTTGAGTGTTTCTCAATAATTAACAGAAATAGAGGTAGATCAGCTTTGTTGAGGTATACTTGTTATTTATATTGATTGTTTCTAATGCTTCACAGTTAACTGTCTTTGCAATACTGATGTCAGAAGCTTGCATTGTGCAAATGAGCACTCTAAGAGATCACAATTTACACAAATTAATTGTGTTTTGTATGCATTCTGACTGATCTCAGAGTTCCCAGATATGTTTTCTGTGTGTCTTTTGATACATCATAGCATGGGAATCATCCTTAACAAATTAATCTGGCTCAAATGAATCCAGTCGTAAACTGTGGCACATCACCAGATTGTTTGGTTCACCAGGTTGTTTCCATATATTGCTTGGCGGATTACAATCATTATGTAGCAGTTTATCACAGGATCTTATTTTTGTCTATATAATTACATCTTTAGATTGGTTTATTTGTGAAATTAAAATTGTGAATCTAGATTTTAAGAAGTGATGTTCATTTGCGTTCTAATTATTGTTTTGTCATACATGGCTACCCTCACTGTATCTGTAAACTTTCTTTTAGCCCAGGTCAGCTGAAGCAGAGTGAGCAGCAGCAAGTAGTCGAGCAGGCAGTGCCCAAGGAGGACTCCTCTGCTTCGGCTGAACTTCAGCCCCGCTCCCTGATCTTTACTCTGGAGGATGACTTGGATAGACCCAATGGTTGTGACCCTGCAGCAGTGAAGTCTTCCATACAATCCCCAGTTGATCTGGAGCCTCATCCGCCTAACCCAGAAGGTCCATCACATTCAAAGCCTGAGGAAATTCTGCACAACCATCAGTTGAAGCAGACAGGAACACAGGAGGTCAGTTTGAGGGTGGGGGGGAAAAAAGGTTGAGTACGGTGTATAATTCAATTCATTTTTATTTGTATAGCGCTTTTTTACAAAGGTCATTGTCTCAAAGCATGCATTTTTGTATCTGACCATTGAGGTTGACTCTATGCCTTCACTCAGAGATTTGAGACTGTACATATGAAATTTTAGGAGCATACACCTGACAGATATTTATTGTTTGACACTTTATGTTGACATGCTGAGTTGCAGTTGGATATATCTACAGGGAGCTAGATGATATGGGATTTTCAGGCATTTATAACAATTTACAGTGAATTTAACAACTTTTTTTTTTTTTTCTTGTCAATCATCCACAGCAAGGCAGACAACAGTAGCAGCTTGACCTGAGACTATAAAAATATTGCTCTATAACTTTCTAGCTTGTCTTTTCCAGAATAACACATACAAATGAGTTTAGCACACACTGAATGAACCAATGAATGGTTTTACAGTATTGAAATATCTAATGGCAGCAAGATATTTTGCTTGTACTGAATAATCTAGAACTAAAAAAAAATAGGCTTCTGTCTGCCGTGCTATGATTTTAACATTATGACGTGTTTTAGTCCTGCACCATCAGCAGAGCTGATTATAGACTTGAAGTTGTGTATCTCTTTTCTCAGGTGCTGCTGGTGGATGCACCTGCTCCTGTTTTGAAGCCTGAAGAGAAGGTACTCATTGACCTTTCCAACACTCCTGACCTGATCAAAACCTTTCCCAGTAAGGCTTTTGGTGGACAGGTAAGAGATCAGTTGAATGTCTTCAGCTTCATTTACTGATATAAAATGTGTTTTTGAAGGTGGTGTTTTTGATCACAGCATTGATGAGATGTTTTTCTGTTGCATTCTCCAGCTGATTGATTTGAGCTCACCTCTTATAAAATGGAGTCCAGAAGGAAAGAAGGAAAACCCTGTGAATGAGGCTCCTCCACTCATTAACTTGTCCTTCTGAAGAACCTGCATTGCCAAGTGAACAAATCCAAGAAAAATAAAACTGTAACTACAGAAACACTGTCGTATGAAAAGGATGCTCGTAAGACTCTAATAATAATGTGCATTTTATTCATGTGGTTGATTGTATGTGCTGTGATTGTTTTATTATGCTGGAACCTGTCAGTGTTACTGTTCAGAGTAATTTACTTTTGAATGTTTGTCTTTGTTAGTCTTGGGTTTTTTTTTCCCCCAGAAAGGTACAAATAAAATATCTAAACTATAAATGCAGTCAGATTTTTGTTGACATGTACTTTTCCCCTGCACATAAATGCAGGGGTGGTACGGTGTAGCCAGGTTTGATCCTGAGCTCAAGTTACTGTCTGGGTGGAGTTTAAACTGTTGTGTCTGCATGGGTTGACTCTGGATTCTCCAGTGAGGGAGGGAGGGAGTGAGTGAGGGAGGCTGGTTGGCTTTGTAATGGATCAGACTATTCCCACCTGGTGCCCAGTGTTCCCAGGATAGGCTCCAGATCCACAGTAACTGAAGCTGAATGAATGTATAAACTATGGACCAGGGGTTCTCAAAGTGGACCCCTGAGAGCCAGTGAAGCATAGCTAGGGAGCCTGTGATCTTTATTTATTTATTTATTTATTTATAATCACGGTGGAAATCACAGCCATTATCATCATGCAATAACTATCAATTTAGTGTATTTATTTATTATATTATATTTAGTTATTAATCCATTTGACTAGTCATTTGAATTGAATGGGTTGAATCCAAACCTCAATGACTCAAAATCAAGTAGGCTTATAAATAATTGAACCAAATGTGTTCTCTCGGTGTAAAGTTATGGAAGAAAAAGCTATTTGGCTCCAAAAAATAGCCTAAATATTATTGTACACTGAAGTAATGATCATGATATTAGAATAGCTGGATTATGTTCATAAAATAAATCTGCTATGGGGGTCCCTGCAATTTATTTTACAGTTAAGGAGTGCATGGCTGCAAAAAAATTTACAGAGCCCCTGCTGTATATAAGCAAGGGTCACCACTGCCCTTATAGTAAAGGCTTCCTTCCTCCGCCTCTTCCTCCGGGTTGTGGCGCAATAGCTACAGTTCGTCTCCAGTCCTGCAGGGGGCGCTGTATGCGCGCAATATTGCGTTTCACAGACAAGCATATACAAGGAGAAGAAGAGCTGAAACGGACGCACAAGACGCACAGTAACGACAAAAACGCAAATATGTCATTTTTGTGTAAGAGTTAATAGTAACACTGTGTGCTGTGCCATTCTTTCTGAAAGATTTAATGCGTTTTAGTGTGTGACTGGTAGCAATGAGAACCCTGGTTCTGGACAATGGCGCTTACACGGCTAAGATTGGATACAGCCACGAGAAAGTCAGGTGTGCTACTGTTATCAGCGCATTGGACTTCTAGGAGATAAAGTATACATTGTTTCTACTGGGTGGATAATAAAGATTTTTTTCTCCCCCTCAGTGTTATTCCTAACTGCCAGTTCCGCTCCAAGTCTCTGAGGCTAAAAACCTTCACTGCAAATCAGCTGGATGAAATCAAAGACCCGTCTGGACTCTTTTATATCCTTCCGTTTCAAAAGGTAACGTTTGATTTAAAAATAATAATAAGTACAACGTCATCCTGGGAGCACTGTGGTTTAGTGGTTAGCACGCCTGCCTCGCACTGCCGGGGTTGGGGGTTTGAACCCTCCCCCTGTGTGTGTGTGTGTGTGTGTGTCCTTCTGATTGGCATTTCCTAATTGTCCATAGTGTGTGATTGTAACCCTGGGATAGGCTCCAGGTGACCCTGTGTAGGATAAGCAGTACAGGAAATGGGTGGATGTACAATGTTAGCCCTGAAAGCAGTGTACATTTCCAAAATGTTTTGCTTATATTTGTTTATTTTAGGGTTATCTCGTGAACTGGGATGTGCAACGGAAAGTGTGGGATCAACTGTTTGGAAAAGAAATGTTCAAGGTACGTAAAGTGTACAATTACACCTAATGAACTGTGCTATAAACAGATGAGCAAACGTCATTATTACCTGTAAAATATTCAGATCCTCAAGTGGTGCATGGTGTAAATTAAATTTGAAGTAAACTGTAGATTTAATGACATACCATCACTGATTCTCATACTACTACTAATGATGGCATTTAAGGAGGCTTTGAAGATCCTCTTCTTCCTTGCTGGTCTCCATCCCTTTTTCATGCCGACCAGAACTAGTGGTCATAGTTCTTAGTGTCTCAGGAAGTGTCTCTTTCTTTCTCCCTTTCTTTCGTGTCCTTCACTGCCATGTCTTCCTAAAATAAGGAAAATACTCTCTCTGTATCTTTGCTACACCTCTGTAATAAATTTTTTAAATGCGTGACTCGGGTCCGAACTTTACTCAGTGCATCACAAGCTGTTCTGCACATATGAATTTTATGCAGTGATTTTACTACGACTTTTTGCAGGTGGACTTTGCTGATACCAACATAGTTATAACTGAGCCATACTTCAACTTCACCTCAATTCAAGAATCCATGAATGAAATTTTGTTTGAGGAGTACCAGTTTCAAGCAGCTCTCCGAATCAACGGTGAGTTCAAACATTGTAAATAATTTAAACTCTACACTGATGCTCCTAAATTGACTAGGCCCTAAAGGGACTACGGCAGAAGGATAGTGTTAGCGTAGCCTCTAGCTGTCTGCGGTCAGCACAGTTTATTAAATCTAATAGTTAAATGGATTTTATGAACACTGTGTTAAGAAAATGTTTGATGAAGATCATTTTACAGTTAAAAGGTCCCTGCCTGAAAAAGACTTGAGTACTCGTGATATTATCTACTGGTGCTCCAGTGCACTCCTGCCTAGTTTAGCCTGTGATACTGTAAAATAATAATTTTTGCTCATTTAAATGTTTACTATTTGTATATTTACATCTGCAAATTAAAGTTTTTTTTGTTTTTTTTTTCCCCAGAAGTCAGCTTCTGTATTCTTACTGACTAACCGACTAAAGACTTTGGTAGTATATGTAATGTTGAAAGTGTGACTAGCTCAGTAAATGGCTTAAATCAATATCTGTCTACATTTCTTGCCTATCAAAGTAATTTAAAGAAGCCCTCAGGTGTACACGATTCATTTTGAGATTGGTCATTTCAGTCTCAGGGTATTTCAAAGATTAATAATCAACAAAAAACTGATAACTTTCCCAAAAAGCCTGACACACGACATAACGTGCCATGTTTCAGCTGGATCTCTGAGTGCACACAGATACTTCTATGAGTACAGTTCGGAGTTGTGTTGCATCGTGGTGGATAGTGGCTTCTCCTTCACACACATCATCCCTTACTGTAGAGGAAGGAAGATGAAAGATGGCATTTGCAGGTCCGGTGATTGTACTTGATTCAGAGTGAGAATTATTAAGGTAATCTGTATGGCTATGTAGTTCACGCTTTGCTTTTGGTTCCACAGAATAAATGTAGGTGGAAAACTTCTCACCAACCACTTAAAAGAGATCATTTCATACAGGTAAGGATGTGATGATGGTCTAGTATTATAAGTATAGTAGTGTGTGTCCAAACAAAATTTCTTAATCAACAAAATGCTTATTCGTTCTGGATCATTAATAGATTTTTTACTGACGCAGGGCCAAGGTGGGTTTAAATTACTACGGTGATACAGCTTTACTACAATTATTTAATACAATTACAATGACTATTATCTCAGAATATCAAAACAACACTTGTATACAAGATATAAATACAAGACTTTACTGATGTGCACAGTAGAGAACATGGGTCACATATGCGGTGACACTTGAGCAGTAAATACATACATAAAATAACCATAATATAAATGTAAGCATAAACAGCACAGATTATGTCTGTTTAGCCATATCTTGGTTGGAGCTAGACTGCAGCTATAGGTGATAATTATTGTTAATATATTCCTGGTGACTCAACATGTGACCTTGGACTAACGTGTTGCATTTCTTTCAAAGGCAGCTACATGTGATGGATGAGACTTATGTGATCAATCAAGTAAAGGAGGATGTGTGCTATGTCTCACAGGAGTTTTACAAAGACATGCAGATTGCTCAGTAAGCTGGAGTGTTTTTTTTTTTGTTGTTGTCTAGTATGTGAGACTACAGATCTGTTCTCACATTCTTCAAGAATCTTCAAACATTGCCTTTTATTTTCTATAGGTTGAAAGGAGAGGAAAATCTGGTAATGAGAGACTATGTACTACCTGACTTTAGTTCCATCAAAAAGGGCTTCTGTAAGGTGTGAAATTCCATCCAATATATGTGCTTTTTCTTTCTTGACTTCCTGTTACTAGATGTTTTTGTATTCTATGTTAATCAGAAGAGATATTTAACTCGTCCTGTAATGCATTTTACTCTGCTTTCTACCCTTTTTAACATTGGAAGGCAATATAATTAGTTACTCTTATTCTATGGTGTTACAGCCTCGAGAGGAGATGAATTTCACAGGGAAGTATAAAACTGGAGAGCAGATACTGCGGCTCACAAATGAGAGATTTGCTGTTCCAGAGATGCTTTTCCAACCGTCAGATATCGGCATCCAGGAAATGGGCATACCAGAAGCAATAGTCAACTCTATTAACAAAATGCCAGAAGGTAGGGTAGGCTTCCAACAGCCACCACCATAGTGTGATATTGGGTTATAAAATTACTAACAGTTTAGCACATACTAGTCATGTTTCAATATTAATAGTGATATTATGATGATGTTCCAATAAGTACATGTTTACCTGTGCCTGATTTATTATTTTGTAAAAAGGAACCAGTCATTATTTTCAGGAGTCACTGAGGTATCATGCATCATCCCATCCAAACACATGACATTTGTCTACTCGTGATCGTCCATTAACTTCTCAGATAAACGTTTTGTCTACTTACGCAGCCTGCCTATTTTTGAGTATCATGAATAGAAAGGAGCACTGAATGATTCACAGGGCCCAGAGCCAGAAGGGGAGCCTGAAACACAATGTGTCTAAACATCATAAACATGCAAAAAAAATTTTTTCATCACAATCCTTGTTAAAAAAAAAAACAACAACAACAACAAAAGAAAACACAAAATGCAGCAGCAGCAATGACTGACCAGACAAACAAAAGAAAAATGTCTTGTTCTGTTTCACTTTTACTTCTTAATGACTGTGAGTGAGTGTTGCACCATCTCTGCACAAGCAGACAAATTTACCAAGAGCTGGTAAACCTTGAGCAGTATTTAGTTGTTTAAAGATACATTTTATTTTCACAACATTTGAAAAATGAAGATTCCTCACAGTACAGCATGTATAGAGATGCATGTGTTCATTTTAAATTTAATCATGTGGGAAAAAAAAAATCATGTTCAGTGTAAATAGGCCTTTAGGTTGAGGACAACCACTGCAAACATACAGGCCCAAGGTTTCTAGGCTCACTCCTATCCACAAGAGCAACATAGTTTGGAGAAATTATGGGATACAGCATAAAAATTATCTGCACTTCATCCCTAATATTTCATTTCTTCTTCATTTCAGAGATGCAGCCTCACTTCTTCAAGAACATCATCTTGACAGGTGGCAACACCTTGTTTCCTGGCTTCAGGGATCGTGTGTATAAAGAAGTCCGTGCACTCGCCCCTAGTGAATTTGATGTTTCTGTAATACAGCCACAAAAGTAAGTGTACATTACAGAAGAATGTACTGTGATCATTGTTGAAATTTTCATTGTCTTTGGCTTGAAGATTGTCTTCTCTTTCCAGTCCAATCTGCTATCCTTGGGAAGGAGGAAAGCTCTTAGCAGAAAACCCAGATTTTGAGGAGATGGTGGTAACACGAGAGGATTATGAAGAAAATGGACATATTGTGTGTGAGGAGAAGTTTGACATTTAATCTGGGAAAAGCTATTATTTATCCACCATGTGTTTATCTCATACCATGTCCTCTCTCATGTTGTTTTCTGAATCTGAATGTTGTAATTATTTTTTATATAATTTTTATACTGTGCTGAAAATAAACTTGACTTCATAATTGGGAGTTTCTCCTTTCAAGGTTTGTTTAACGAGGCTTGTGTAACCAGTAATGTCTTAAGTGAACTTATTGGTTTTAGCTGATATTAAGGGGAACTCTGCCAACTTCAAGTTATGTGAAGACCAAACTAAGCTAACCACTTAACTATAATCTGATGGAAATGTAAATCATTAGCAAGGGCTAATGGTAGTAGATGTGGTGGTGATGATGAGGATGATGATGGTGACAACTACAGTTTCACACTGCTTTAGAGAAAAACACTTTCCATTTCAAAATTGTAAAATATATTTCTGCAGAGAAGGCAATTATCTGCTGTGTTTATACAAATGTGTACATTTTTGCCAGTTTAAATGCATTACTGTATCATGTATCTTTGCCAGAGATTAATCAGAAGATATTTTAATATCATTTGGTGTGAGAACTGACAAACATTAAGAAAAACCTATGGTCTGGCCACCCAAATATAGTTAATTTTAATTCCTTAGGACAGAAAGTGATGTACTGATAACTTGTTTATGACATTTTCTGATGCCAAGGTTGAGAACTCCATATATTAAAGCTGAAATTTTCGAACTGGGAAAGTTTCCCTAACGTTAGCATTTGGTTACTTTTAAGTTATTTTTAGGATCCATTTCATAACACTCTGGAAATGTTCTACACTACATGGTATGTGGACACATGACCATCACACCCACATAC